GCCAGAACGGCCTTCACACACACACAACCCCCCCCCCGCTTCCTCTCGGGCCACTCTGTGGACCCTGGGGACGGGGCAAGGAGACGTTCCTGTGGCCCGGCGGGGACTTGCCAGCCGCTGGGCTCTGTCCTGGGAGCTGACTCAGTTTCCCCTCTGCGGCCCAAAAACATGGCGTCTCCGCTCGGGACGGGAGCCCAGCAGGAGCTGGCGAGGCCGGCCGGGGAGGGGAGGGGAGGGGGGAGAAGAGGCCCTCTCGGCTGGACCCGATTCTCCCTCCTCCGTGCAGGGAAAGTGGTGCAGAACGGGGGTGCCCAGAGCCAGGAGAGGGGGTGGGGCAGGACGAAGTGGGGACCTTTGGCTTAAAGAGGGTCAATATAAAAAGGTGTTCTTGTCCGGGGCTGGTGGCGCTCGTCACCCTTGGGTGGGCCAGGCACCCTGCTGCGGTGGCCGCCTGTGTGACACTCGGGGGGAAGGTATGACACAGGGGGGACCCCAGGCAAGGCCTGCCCCGGGGCCAGCAGCTGCCGGCGGCCGCTCCTAATCGTCGTCGTCGTCATCATCGTCATCGTCGTCGTCGTCATCGTCGTCGTCGTCCTCTGTGTTGATCTCTCCTTCCAGCACGTCCTCCAGCCAGTCCTCCAGCTCATCGGCGGAGGGCAGGTCATCCTCATCGTCCATCTCCAGCCAGATGCTGTCGGCCTGCAGGGAGCAAGTGAGGCGGTGGGAGGGACGGGGCCATGGCCTGAGGCCCCTTACTCATCAGACCCCCGTACACCAAGGTCAGTCTTGTCTACTCAGACTGGCAGCCGCTCCCCAGGGTCACCGGCAGAGAAAGGTCTCTTCCACATTACTGGAGATGCTTCCGGGGATTTCCTGCATTGTACGGAGGGGGTTGGACTAGATGACCCTGGAGATCCCTTCCAGCTATATGATTCTATGATCAGACCTATTGACTTTCTAAACATGTGAAGCTGTGTTGTCCTGAATCAGGCCCTCAGTCCATCAACGTCAGTGTTGTCCACTTAGTAGCTCTCCAGGGTCTCAGGCAGAGGCCTTTCACATCACCTCCGACCTGGTCTTTTAATTGGAGATGCCTTTGGGAATCGAACCTGAGACCTTCTGCATGCCAAGCATAGGCTCTGTGACTGAGCCATGGCCCCTCCCAAACATGAACACTCAAAGTTAACTTCTACAGAATTGGACCATCAAGGTCCATCAGGGTCAGTATCGTCTACTCAGACTGGCAGAGGCTCTCCGGGGTCTCAGGCAGAAGTCTTTCACGTCACCTCCTGCCTGGTCCTTTTAACTGGAGATGCTACCTGGGATTGAACCTGGGACCTCCTGCGTGCCAGGCAGATGCCCTGCCACTGAGCCACGGCCCCTCCCCAGAGCCTTCGGACTCTCTCTCTCTCTCTCTCCCATTGACCAACTTGGGAGAGAAAGGAGCTGGGGCTTTTCCGGCAAAGGGAATGAGCTGGGGGCAGTTTCACTTCTTCGGGGCTTCACTGCTAGCTTTTCAGGCTGGGTTATGCAGAAACAACGCTAGTCCTTCACAAAGGGTATACAGAGAGGGGGATGTGGTTCTTTTCACAACTGTGTACGGAGTTCTAGAAGAACAAAAACGGGCCAGTTTGGTGTCGTGGTGAAGTGCACGGACTCTAATCTGGGAGAGCCAGGTTTGATTGCCCACTCCTTCTCTTGCACCTGGCTGGATGACCTTGGGCAAGCCGTAGCTCTGACAAGAGCCGTTTCTGTCCAGAGCGCTCTCAGCCCCACCTGGCTCACAGGGTGTCTGTTGTGGGGCGTGGAAAGGAGTTTGTCAGCAGCTCTGAGACTCCCTTGGGTAGTGAAGGGCCATGGGGTATAAATCCAATCTCTTCTTCTCTTCATTTGTTTTGAAAGAAGCAAGACTTGAAGAAGGGGGTGGGGTAGGGGAGTCCCACCGTGTCCTTACGAGAAAGGCAGGCCTTAAAAAAGGAGTCGTAAGTAGCACAGATCAGGGCTCTGCTGAGGGTTCCTCTCTCAAAGCGGCCGGAGGCTGCCCAGCAGGTCATAGAAACTTGAAACTCTGGAAGGGATCCTAAGGGTCATCTAGTCTAACCCTCTCTGCAATGCAGGAAATTCAAAGCTGCCTTCCTCCCCCAACACTCCCCCAGTGACCCCCCTGTGCTCTATGCCCCAAAGGAGGGCAGCAGAACCACACCCTGTTGCGCAGGGCCACAAGGGCAGGCAGGGGGTCTGTCGTGCATCTCCCCCCCCCGGGGGTCCTTATAGAATCATAGAATGTTAGAGTTGGAAGGGACCTTGCAGGTCATCTAGTCCACCCCCCTGCACTCTGCAGGCTTTACTCTGCTGGGCTTTACGGGACAATTCGGAAACATTCTTGCAGAAGGGCTCCGGTGCGCTGCGGGTACTCACGTCCGTTACGTTGACAACCCCAATCTGAGGCCGGTTCAGGTCAATGTCGAAAGTCTTCTCCCAGTATGGGATCAGCTGTCGAGGGAAAGAAGAGGTGATGTCTACGCACCACGTCTGCCGACAGGCACCAATCCCTGCCCTGCCTTGCCCTGGGGACGGGTGGCCTGGAGGGGCCGGCTAGGCTACGGAACGGCTCCAGAAATAGCCTCGTCCAAACCCCACCTTCACTTTCCATGGGAAAACTGCACAATATGATTTTCTCCCGCATAAGGGCAGCAAAACACACACTCGCATCCTATCGAGATGGCCCAGTAAGGAGGAGACAAAAGTCTTAATGTGTTATTTAACTGGTACGCTCTCTACATGGGGCTGCCCTTGTCCCAAATCCGGAAGCTGCAGCTGGTGCAGAATGCCGCAGCCAGGCTGTTGATGGATCTCCCACGTCGGGAGCACATCCAGCCTGTGCTTAGGTTACTGCACTGGCTGCCAATGGCACACCGGATTTGCTTCAAGGTGCTGGTACTTATCTTCAAAGCCCTACATGGCCAGGGACCGACCTACCTGAGGGACCGCCTTTCCCCATATGTACCCTAGAGAGCACTACGGTCAGGGGCCCAACATTGCTTGACTATTCCGGGCCCCAAGGATGCAAGGCTCACCAGGGCCAGGGCCTTTTCTGTGGCGGCTCCTGCCTGGTGGAATGAGCTCCCGGAGGAGATCAGGGCCCTGTGGGACCTTTCACAGTTCCGCAGGGCCTGCAAGACGGAGCTCTTCCGCCAGGCCTTTAAATAGGAACCGCCACTACTGTTACCATCAATGATTCCATTGAACTCCTGGAACCTAGGACTGGCCCAGATGCATCCCCAGGCCTCTATCTGCTCGAGGGAGGATGACCGGATGGACAACGTGGATTTAGATCTGAAGAGCGCGCCATCTAATCTTTCAGCACTTCGAGCACTTTAGTGCTAACTGTTATTTTCTTATGTGATATGAATTAGTATGTATTTTAACATTTTTATGGTTATGCCAGTTAGGTACATTGTACCGCTCTTGTTAGCCGCCCTGAGCCTGTTCGCAGGATGGGCGGGGCATAAATATAATAAATAAAAAAATAAATAATTTTACGGCTTTCCCAGAATGCCCCTCCTCAAACTCCCGGTGACTTTTCTGCCTGAGACCCCACCGTACGGGGGGGGGGGGGGTTAAGACCAGGACACTGCCAGGGGGGGACGGCAGAGCTTGCCGCTGTTTCTGCACCCCTGAAGGAGAGAGCCAGAAAGGGGTGGAATTCTGCACCCCAGACCAGGGAACTGCCCCCTTGGAAGGGACGGGAGGGCCAGGCCCCCTGAAGGAGTCTTACCCTAACAAAGCCTTAGGAAAGCCTGGAGAGAGACCACCTCTCCCCCTATGAGCCCCGTAGAGCACTGAGGTCCACAAATCAACATCTGTTGGTGGTTCCCGGCCCCAGGGACGTCCAGCTAGCCTCGGCCATGAGATCAGGGCTTTTTCGGCCCTGGTCCCCGCCTGGTGGAATGAGCTCCCGTGTGAGATCAGGACCCTGCGGGACTTACTGCAGTTCCGCAGGGCCTGCAAGACGGAGCTCTTCCGCTGGGCATTTGGTTGAGGCAGTGGACGTCCCCCCTCTCCCCTCCCCTCCAGCTTCTTCGGCCCTGACTTTGTCTGCCCAGCTTTATCCCGGCCAATTGTCCACCAGTGGCCTGATTCTGGCTAGTCATCTGACTACTTTTCTAGTTACATGGTATTTCACAATTTTTTGTGTAAACTGTTATTTTAATGCTGTTTTGATTGTATATTTGTTGTACACCGCCCTGAGCCCACTGGGGGGAGTAAAAGGTAAAGGTAAAGGTTCCCTTGCTCGAAAGCCAGTCGACTCCGACTCTAGGGTTGCGGTGCTCATCTCCGTTTCAAAGCTGAAGAGCCAGCGCTGTCCAAAGACGTTTCCGTGGTCATGTGGCTGGCATGACTAGACACCAAGGCGCACAGAACGCTGTTACCTTCCCACTGAAGTGGTACCTATTTATCTACTTGCAATTTCTTGCTTTCGAACTGCTAGGTTGGCAGGAGCTGGAACTAGAGACGGGCGCTCACTCCGTCATGCAGCACTCGGGTCTCGAACTGCTGAACTACTGACCTTCCACAGCCTGCAGTTCAGCGTCTTAACCACTTAAGCCACCGCAGCTCCACTGGGGGGAGGGCGGTATATAAATCTAATAAAATAAATAAATCAAACAGATCTGGGGGCCTAGTCCTCACCAGGGGGAAGTCCTCGGGGTCAATCCAGATGATGCTGAGGTCTGGGTTGTCTGTGTTGTCTTGAGCCACGTCCTTCAGGATCTCCAGGAACTCATAACCATCTGTGGCCGGAGAGAGCAGGAGGAGAGGGAGGTGAGTGGAGGGGACCCAGGAGGGCGGGGGGGAGGGGGCTTCCCAGGGGCCGGGCGGGTCCTCCTCCCAGAGTTCCCCACGTTGGCCCCCCCCCCGCCATCCTGCCCCACTGGGGCTCCTGCCCAGCCGAAGGGACTCGGGGCCTGTCCCAGAGGGGGGTGGCCGCCTGCGAGACTTCTGCACTCCTCCAATTTGAAAGCTGGTGTCAGAGAGAGCTGTGTGCACATTTCATGCCCTCAGGGACGAGGTGGTGTTAATCTGCTTTGTTTCTCACCGGTTTGGAGTCCAATTCAATGGTAAAACATGAAAACGGGGCGGGCCGCCGGGGGGGGGGGGGGTTTGTCAAATACAGTGCCACACCCCCAAATGGCCAGATGCCCAAATGGCCAGATGCCGGGGGGGGGGGTGTCTTGTGGCCACTTACCGGGGTCATCTTCCTCTGCAAAGGCCACGATGTGGATGCCGTCAATGTCATCTTCCTGGAAAGGGAGAGTCAAGGGGAGGGGGGTGAGCGGCCACCATCCTGACCGGTACAGAGGCGCTGGGCACAGTCCTCCATGGGGAGCAGGGCCTTCCTGGTGTGAGCCCCATCGGCATGGGCCAGGCTTGCTCAGGAGCCACAGGTGGGCCTTCCCTGGAAGCCCTGGAGGCCTCCCGAAGCCAACATGCAATTGGGGCCACAGCAGGAAATTGTCAAAGTGCCCCCCCCCATGACCCACCCCCAGCTCTCCACCCACATCTTGCCCTCCGCCTGTCAGCTAGTGGCCCGGCGCTGAAAGGGAACCCCAGTGAGCAATGCTCCCTCTGAGCTGTGGAGAGTCGAGTGAGCAAAAACTCTACTCTGTGAGCTACTGTGGGTTTTATGACACCAAATGGCCTGGTAAGCCACCCTGAGCCTGCTTGGGGGGGGTGGGGGTGGGAGGACGGGGTATAAATTAAATAAGCAAGTAAGTACTGGCATTAACGGTGTGAGCGAGCGATTCGGCTCCTGCAGAATTCGGTTTCCTCTGGAGCCATCCTCCCTGAGCTAAGGCAAGGATGTGTGAGCCGGAGGCTAAAGAACTGTGAGCTGGCTCACACTCACTCGTCTTAGAGGGAACGGGAGAAGGGTCCGCGGTTTCAGAGGAGGGCAGCCACGTTGATCTGCCGGAGGACAGCTCGAGTCGAGTCCAGGAACACCTTTGAGACCAACCAGATATTTGGGGGTGTACATTTTGGAGAGGCAAAGCTCCCGGGGGGTCTGACAGCTCCTGCCCCGAGAACGTCTCGCTGGTCCCGAAGGTGCCGCAGGGCTCCAGTCGAGCTGACTGCTGACAGGTTGTTCCGCTGCCCAGTGCCAGGTGTCCATTTACGCCAGCAATGACACCTTTGCGCTGCATTATTTATGGGCACACACACACACACCCAGGCAGAGGGAGGGTGGAGAATCGGCCTTGGGGACTCCGGGGAGCCAGGATCGAATCCCTGTTTCACCAGGACAAAGGGCTCTGGCCACTGCCTCCTCCCCCTCCCCCCCTCCAGGTGGAGCGCCTCCCTGCCTGTCCCTCAGGGCCACACCCCACTCCCCATGTGGTCCAGGAGCAATGCTCCCTCTAAGCTCTGGAGTCCTGTGAGCAAAAATTCGACTTTGTGAGCCACTGGCATTGAAGTTGTGAGCGAGCGATTGGGCTGCTGCATAAATTAGTCTGCTCTGGAGCCCCATCCTTCCTGAGCCAAGACAAAAATGTGTGAGCTGGGGGCTAAAAACCTGTGAGCTGGCACACACTGACTCAGCTTAGAGGGGACAGTGCGAGTCCAGGAGCCCCTCCCTCCCTCCCTCCTTGGAACCGCCCCCCTCTTTCCCCCTGGACATACCCAGGTTTCATACATGCTGTCTGGCTGGAGTTTTCTCAGCGTTGGCCTGCAAGAAACGGACACAGAGAATGCCACGTGAAGAAGGAAAGCCACGGAAAGGAGGTGGCTACTTTCGGGCGGGGGTGGTGGTTTCCGCTGCGGGAAAGCAGCCAGGAGAGATCTGGACGGGCAGGCAAACCCTCTCCCTGCAGAACCCCGTCCTCTTGGAGACTGGCGGATCCCCCCTGGCCTGCGCCCCTGGGCCTGGCAAAAGTCTCCAGGGCCTCCTGGCACCTGTCCTTAGGAGGGGCCGTGTTTTTCTCTCGGGGCGATCTCCGGAGAGGGGGGAGGGGGGGCTGGAGTCCACAGGAATACCACCACCACCGAGGCCTCCTCCAGCGGAGGGAGTTGGGAACGTCTCTTGCAATTCTCCGGTGCTGCACACAGGCAGCTGGCCCCGCAGGGAGTGGAGTGCGGGGCACTGCCAGGCACTAGGCTGGAAGAGGGACCAAACGCCAGGGGCAGATTAACCATGAAGCAGACGAAGCACGTGCTTAGGGCACCAAGGCCAAGGGGGGCACCACGAAGTTGGGAAAAGGGTGAAAAGGCTGAGTTTGTACAGTAGATTGTGTGATCACATGAATACATGTCTGTCTTGCTGCAACCTGCATTGTCCATCTGGTCAGACGGGTCAACGACTAAAACGGACTGGGGGTCAGTGTGGAAAGGAGGGGGGGCACCAAGATGGGTCAGTGATTCGGGTACCCCCCCCCGTGAGCCTTCATCCGCCCCTGCTAAACACGCAAGCATGGGGGTCTCCTGGTGGGGAGGGGCGGCGGCCAGGAGGAGGCTCTGCTCTTTCACCCTTGAACGTGACCAGGAGCGTTTGGGAGTTTGGGCCTGGCAGCGAAGCCCCAGTGAAATCGAAGGTGGAGTCCCAAGGAGGGGGGGGCAGGGGTGTGTTTGTGGGAGTCTCATCCTGCCCTCCCTGACCGTCCCGGGCTGCCCAGAGAAGGCCGGGCAGGCTGGCAGAAGGGGGGGGAGGGCCCTGTCAGCCTGCCGTCGCCCAGTCGGGCCAAGTTCCGGGGGCACCTGAGCGGCCCGCCCACCGCATCCATTTCAGCCAAAGCTCGGGTGGGTGAGTCACCACCGTGCTCGCTTCTTCCGAGAGATCCGTGGCGGGGAGATTGTGGTGGGAGGAGATGAAAAACAGCCCTCATCCGGAGGCTGGAACGGAGAGCAGCTGCCATGGCAACCAGGCAGGCAGAGGGGGATGAATGGGGGCGGGGGGGGCGTTTGGCCTACAAAGCCAGTGGGAAATAACGCTGCCCCCCCCCACACACACACACACCATGGTCTTTGCCAATGGACCCCGGCCCGGTCTCGTGCCCTGCCCAGAGGCAGAGGAAAGGGGGACGGGGCTGCGCTGGGACGCCACCCATGGCGCTCAGGGGCGGACCGGAGGCACCCCCCAGGGCCCTGATCCCTGCCAAGCCTGTGCAAGCGCAGAGCGGGGTAGGGGAGGGGCTGGCTGCGGAAGGGGGCTGCCCATCAGCTCCTCCCGGGTTCCTTCTCTGCAGCACCTCCCCTCACAGTGGGATTGCCAACCTCCAGGTGGGGCCTGGAGATCCCCCGGGACTGCGACTGACCTCCAGACTACAGAGCTCAGCTCCCCGGGGGAAAACAGATGCTTTGGAGGGTGGGCTCTCTACCACTGTACCCCTCGGTGGTCCCTGTCCTCCCCAGACGTCCCCTTCTCTCACGGGCCCACGACAGAGGGCCTTTTCGGGGGCAGCCCCATGATTATGGAACAGCCTCCCCAGAAAGGAGCGCCGGGCCCCCTCCCTTTGGGCCTTTAAGAGGCGGTTCTATTTAGGACTGCATTCGACTGATGGAGTTTTCCTTTACTGGCAGTCCTCACTGGAGTTTTTAAATGGTGGGCTTTGGGGTGCTTTTGGAATCATTGCTCTATTTGCACTGTAAAGAAAGCAGCCTAACAAGCCTTTCAAATAAGGAAATGAAACCACCACACCCTGCCACCCCCCCCCCCCCGGATCACACACCCCCAAGAAGAAGAAGAAGAAGAAGAGAAAAAGAAGAGATTGGATCTATATCCCAACCTTCACTTGGAGTCTCAGAGCGGCTTACAATCTCCTTTCCCTTCCCCTCCCCACAACAGACACCCTGGGAGGTGGGCGGGGCTGAGAGAGCTCTTTCCAGGACTGCCCTTGAGAGAACAGCTCAGAGAGAACTTGTGACTGACCCAAGGTCACACCAGCAGCTGCAAGTGGAGGAGTGGGGAATCAAACCCGGTTCTCCCAGAGCTGGTGGCCCTCTCCAGGCTCCCCACCCACTGGGAGAAACAACCATCTCCTCTCTTCCCGCTGAGACAGACAGGCCTTCTCAAAGCCACCGTCAAGGGCACCTCCTTCCCTTTCTGCAGCCAGCAGCAGGGGCCCTGGGCCTCCTGTGCCCCACTGTGCCCTGAAGATGGACTGGTGTCCCTCTCTCTGTTCTGTACAGAACTGCTGCTTCCTGCCAAAAGAGCCTGGCCAGCCAGGGTGGGCTTGGGGGTCTCCTTTGGAGGCCAGGGGGACTAGAAAGGCCTTCTGATCCTGTCCAAGGAGCAAAGCCCGTGTCTCGGACGGCAGGAGAGGGGCCCAAGGAGCAGCTTCCTGCAGAGGAGGTGGGTTGCAGAACAAGGCTGCCGGATTAGGGGTCTCTCATACAAAGGAATCCCACACCGCAGTCCTTCACCTCCCCCTCATAAGAACCTCAGAAGAGCCCTGCTGGGTCAGACCAGGGAGGGTCCATCTAGCCCAGCATCCCCTCTCACACAGGGGCCTCAACCAGTTCCTCTGCAGGGCCAGCAACAGGGCAGAGAGGCCGAGGCCTTCCCCTGAAAAGAACCTCAGAAGAGCCCTGCTGGATCAGATCAGGGAGGGTCCATCTAGTCCAGCCTCCCGTCTCACACAGGGGCCAGCCAGTCCCTCCGGAGGACAAACAACAGGGCAGAGAGGCTGAGGCCTTCCTGTTATAAGAACCTAAGAAGAGCCCTGCTGGGTCAGACCAATAATCCACCTAGTCCAGCCTCCCGTCTCACACAGGGGCCGATCAGTTCCTCTGGAGGGCCAGCAACAGGGCAGAGAGGCCGAGGCCTTCCCCTGAGGAGAACACCAGGGTAGCCCTGCCGGGTCAGACCGGTGAGGGTCCACCTAGTCCAGCATCCCGTCTCACACAGTGGCCAACCAGTTCCCCTGGAGGACCAGCAACAGGGCAGAGAGGCCGAGGCCTTCCCCTGAGAAGGACACCAGAAGAGCCCTGCTGGGTCAGACCAGGGAGGGGCCCTCCAGTCCAGCCTCCCGTCTCACACAGGGGCCGATCAGTTCCTCTGGAGGGCCAGCAACAGGGCAGAGAGGCCGAGGCCTTCCCCTGAGAAGGACACCAGAAGAGCCCTGCTGGGTCAGACCAGGGAGGGGCCCTCCAGTCCAGCCTCCCGTCTCACACAGGGGCCGATCAGTTCCTCTGGAGGGCCAGCAACAGGGCAGAGAGGCCGAGGCCTTCCCCTGAGAAGGACACCAGAAGAGCCCTGCTGGGTCAGACCAGGGAGGGGCCCTCCAGTCCAGCCTCCCGTCTCACACAGGGGCCGATCAGTTCCTCTGGAGGGCCAGCAACAGGGCAGAGAGGCCGAGGCCTTCCCCTGAGAAGGACACCAGAAGAGCCCTGCTGGGTCAGACCAGGGAGGGGCCCTCCAGTCCAGCCTCCCGTCTCACACAGGGGCCGATCAGTTCCTCTGGAGGGCCAGCAACAGGGCAGAGAGGCCGAGGCCTTCCCCTGAGAAGGACACCAGAAGAGCCCTGCTGGGTCAGACCAGGGAGGGGCCCTCCAGTCCAGCCTCCCGTCTCACACAGGGGCCGATCAGTTCCTCTGGAGGGCCAGCAACAGGGCAGAGAGGCCGAGGCCTTCCCCTGATGTTGCCTCCTGGCTCTGGGATTCAGAGGCGGACTGCCTCCACGCCACTGATTGATCAACTGACCCACGCATCTGCCTAGTCCCCCTTTAAAGCTGTTGATTCCTGTGGCCATCGCTCCATCCTCTCGTGGCGAATCCCACCTTTCAATCACTCTCTGTGTCAAGTAGCATTTCCTTTGTTCCGTCCTGAACCTACTCTTCCGCCTTTCCTCGGATGGGAAGATGCTCCAACCCCCCAAAAGAAATCTCGGTCGCCCTCCCCTGAACTCTTTCCAGCTCTGCAGTGTCCTTTTGGAGACATGGCTCTTCACCCCCCCCCATCAAAGCCGCCTCCGCCCCCTCTGCCAGCGAATCCCCTCCCCCTCATTTCACCTCTTGTGCTCCTCCAGGAACTGCATGATCTCTTCCTCGCTGTTGGGCTTGTCGGGGATGGTGACTGGCTCCTCCATGAACGGCTCATAGTAATCGATCTCGTTCAGCTTGAGGGATAATTTCTTGGCAACCTGAAGAGGAAGAGGGGCACAGACCTCTTAGGAGGGAGGGGGAAGAGCAAAAAAAGGGAGAGCGGCCTGCTGTCATCCCCCCCCCCCGGGCTTGACCCCGTGCCATCAAACCTGGGGAGGGGGTGCGGCAGTGAAGGCGTCAAACTAGGATCTGAATGGACACAGCCCCCCTCTGCCACGGATCTCCATGGGTGGCCTGGGGGCCAGTCCCTCTTTCCCACGGGGGCCCGCGTGGCATAGTGGTGAAGAGCAGCGGACTCTTATCTGGCGAACCGGGTTAGGGTCAGCCCTGGTTAGTAGTCAGATGGGAGACCACCACAGGGTCACTCGGAAGAGGCAGGCAATGGCAAACCAACTCTGAACGTCTCTTGCCTTGATGGCCCAGGCTGGCCTCCTCTCTTCAGATCTCGGAAGCTAAGTAGGGTCGGCCCCGGTTAGTACTTGGATGGGAGACCACCCAGGGAGTCCAGGGATGCCACGCAGAGGCAGGCAATGGCAAACCACCTCTTTTAGCCTCTTGCCTTTGAAACCCCCTAAAGCTGCGATTTGATGGAGCTCTAAACGCACACACCCGAACACAGCCACATACCTTGCTGTCAAAGGTAACGAAGAAGGGGATGTAAGGGTGGAACTCCTCTGCAGCATCTAGGTAGGCCTTGTAATCTGCAGGGGAGAGGAGGAGGAGGAGGAGGAGGGGCAGCCCTTCCCTCTGGGCAAAGCCAGCCCCAGCCCAGGCAGAAGAGTAAACGGGACAGAACCAACAGCATGCCTGCCTGCCTAACTGACTCTCTTGTAAGTCCCCCCCCGTCTCACACAGTGGCCAGCCAGTTCCTCTTGAGGTCCAACAACAGGGCCTACAGGCCAAGGCCTTCCCCCTGAGAAGAACCTCAGAAGAGCCCTGCTGGATCAGACCAGGGAGGGTCCATCCAGTCCAGCCTCCTGTCTCACACAGGGGCCAACCACATCCTCTGGAGGGCCAACAACAGGGCCGAGAGGCCGAGGCCTTCCCCTGAGGAGAACTTCAGAAGCGCCCTGCTGGGTCAGACCAGGGAGGGTCCATCCAGTCCAGCCTCCTGGTTCACACAGGGTCCAGCCAGTTCCTCTGGAGGGCCAGCAACAGGGCAGGGAGGCCGAGGCCTGCCCCTGAGAAGAACCTCAGAAGAGCCCTACTGGATCAGCCCAGGGAGGGTCCATCCAGTCCAGCCTCCTGGTTCACACAGGGTCCAGCCAGTTCCTCTGGAGGGCCAGCAACAGGGCAGGGAGGCCGAGGCCTGCCCCTGAGAAGAACCTCAGAAGAGCCCTACTGGATCAGCCCAGGGAGGGTCCATCCAGTCCAGCCTCCTGGTTCACACAGGGTCCAGCCAGTTCCTCTGGAGGGCCAGCAACAGGGCAGGGAGGCCGAGGCCTGCCCCTGAGAAGAACCTCAGAAGAGCCCTACTGGATCAGCCCAGGGAGGGTCCATCCAGTCCAGCCTCCTGGTTCACACAGGGTCCAGCCAGTTCCTCTGGAGGGCCAGCAACAGGGCAGGGAGGCCGAGGCCTGCCCCTGAGAAGAACCTCAGAAGAGCCCTGCTGGGTCAGACCAGTGAAGGCCCTCTAGTCCAGCATCCTGCCTTACACAGTGGCCAGCGAGTTCCTCCAGATGGCCAGCAACAGGGCAGAGGCAGAGGCTTTCTCCTGAGGAGAGCATCAGAAGAGCCTTGCTGGGTCAGAGCAGTGAGGGTCCATCTGATCCAGCCTCCTGTCTCACACAGGGGCCAACCAGTTCCTCTGGAGGGCCAACAACAGCGCAGAGAGGCCGAGGCCTTCCCCTAATAAGGACACCAGAAGAGCCCTGCTGGGTCAGACCAGGGAGGGTCCATCTAGTCCAGCCTCCCGTCTCACACAGGGGCCAACCAGTTCCTCTGGAGGGCCAACAACAGCGCAGAGAGGCCGAGGCCTTCCCCTAATAAGGACACCAGAAGAGCCCTGCTGGGTCAGACCAGGGAGGGTCCATCTAGTCCAGCCTCCCGTCTCACACAGGGGCCAACCAGTTCCTCTGGAGGGCCAACAACAGCGCAGAGAGGCCGAGGCCTTCCCCTGATGGTGTCTCCTGGCTCTGGGATTCAGATGTTAAGTGCTTCCGGATCTGGAAGTTCCCCTCGGCCACCATGGCCTGGCTAGTAGCCACAGACAGACCTCTCCTCCATGAATCTCTCTAATGCCCTTTGAAAGCTGTTTATTCCCGTGGCCATTGCTAAGTCCTCTGGCAGCAGCGAGTTCTGCCTTTGAATCACTCTCCGTGTAACACACCAGAGCCGGTCAAGGCCTCCTGAGAAGCACAGCCTGGCAAGTGGCACCCCCCCACACACCCCACCCGCCGCAGGGCACGCACGTTCTGAGTCTTCGTTCTTGAAGAAGCCGATGAGTTTGGGCTCGTCCTCGATGTTCTCAAAGGCCTCCAGCTCATGATCTCCCTCTATGAACTCCACCGGGTCCTCCAGCACCTGCCAGGGAAGACAGGCGGGCAAAGGCTTGAGCGTCTGGCACAGCTATCCCTCATGCCAGCCAGCAGTGCCAGGGGAGGGTCTGGCGAGGTGGCCCAGAGGACAAAGGAGGGGGGACGGGGGGGGGGGGGGAAAACCCCCCCAGCCA